ACCTTTGATTCTAGAGCAACTCCACATATATGTGCGTGCCATCAAAAAATGTCTTTGTCCTACCAGCCAGGAGGTATGGAGGCAGAGATGGCACTGGTAAAGTAAATGCACATATGAAACCAGTGGGAATTTTCTTTGTTAACATTTTGCAGACTTAGAAGTCTCATACTTAGAAAATTATGGCTAAGTAGCCAAGGCTGTTATTCGGCTATGGGTAATAAAGGATCACTTCTGTATTGAGACGGAGGTGACTTTTACAAAATGAGTACTAGATATAAATATGTTGGTCAACTTTGGAGAAGCTAAAAATTAACTTTATAAATGGGAAAGAAGATAGACCTCCGCATCCCATGCCTCAAAGGACCTGGCTTTCAGAAATCTACAAAAATAATCTGTGTTGATTTGTCAGCATTAAAATGTGTAAATCATCCTATTGGTTGGCTGTACTCTGTCCAAAGCCATGGCTTGTAGGCAGTAGTCAATAAGAGCTTTTCCTACTTCTCATGTTTTATTCGTAGTCTAAACTAGAAACTTATCTATAATCATTTGTTTATTGTATCATTATGACAAGGAAAACTATAACTTATGACAAAAGCAAGAAGCAGCACCCAAGTGGTTCAACTAAGAAAAACAGAGGTTGGGGCGCCTGGGTGGCTCAGTTGGTTAAGCGGCTGCCTTCGGCTCAGGTCATGATCCCAGCGTCCTGGGATCGAGTCCCACATCGGGCTCCTTGCTCGGCGGGGAGCCTGCTTCTCCCTCTGCCTCTGCCTGCCTCTCTGTCTGCCTGTGCTCACTCTCTCTCCCTCTGTCTCTGACAAATAAATAAATAAAATCTTTAAAAAAAAAAAAAAGAAAGAAAAACAGAGGTTGATATAATTAAATTTAGACTCCTCTGAAGCTCTCCTTATACAAAAGAAAGCAAACTTTTGATGTGACCCGTTCTCTGGATCTTGGCATTTGTGGTAACTAACAAGGCAAAGGAATCCTAGAACTAGGTTCGGATTTATAGGCCAAAAGTCACATATTTTAAAATGAGGACCTCATGATAAGGAGTATAGACAGAAGAAACCCCATCAGCTGGAAACGAAGTTGATGGTGACCAGGAAGATTAACCCTTTCCAAAAGGTAATAAGCACACACGATACTCTGCTGAAGAGCACAGCAGTGCCCACGCACCACTGTTTTGGTTCATTACCAGGAGCAGGGTAAAATGATCCCTAAGGGCCCAGGTAAGTGGGTTCAGTGAAAACGCACCACAAAGACCAGAGGGAAAGCTTTGGAAACTGCTGGTTCATCAGATCAATAGACTCAAAGATGACTAAGTTAGGTTGCTTTATGCAGTTTAAACATTTGTGCAGGGAGACTCCCCACACAGCCTTTTATTGACAGCTACAGATCAATGGTAATTTTTGATCATTTTCAACCTACATAAACCTATTGACCCCAGGGCCACCTTTGGGGCACTTCAAGTCGTCAAAAATAATCAGAGGAGATGGTGTAAAATTGTCAGACTGCTGAAGACTCCAAGTAGTTTCATGTGCCCCCAGGAGCAGAGTTGAGAGGTTAAAATGTAGTTCAGATTGCCAGCAGAACCTCAACTGGCAGACCGTTCCAGAGAGTCTTGTCTTTATGTCACATAAAAGGACATACTGCTTTGTATCCAGACTGCAGCCCTTATGCATATAAGGTTGTTTTTGGTTTTTTTTTTTAAGCTAAGTCTCGTTGGAAATATCTCCACAATCTATGTGGAGGCTGCATTTTTCCTATTTTCCTCTGTTGAATCATTCTTTCCACTGGCTGCCTAACAAAAGTACTCAATGTACTTATAGAATAAAAATATGAACATTAGGTGGGTGTGAACATGGGAAGGACAAGGACAGATGGGAAGTGAGCACAAGCTGGTAGCCCAGAGATCGGGGATGACAAGAAATCTATCTCCTAAGAATCAGTAAGATGGAAGAGTGAGGGAAAGAAGGATCAAAATAAGGACAACAAAGAAGAAGAAGTAAGAGTATCAAATCAAGATCATCTCCATAAGGGAAGGAGAAAGGGGGAGCAGAGGAGTGAAAGGGAAGAAAAAGGATTTTAATGATGATTTTACTAGTCAACAGAGGAGAACACTACATCCCCCAAGGACAGAATTTAATCCAGAACATGTAAGGTAGACAGTGTTCAAGAAAATCTGAATTTAAGGGGAGAAAAACCTGAGTAACTCAATAAACAAACAAGATAGAACCCAATCTGCAGAAAGAACTGTGCCCAAATTTTACAGGATTCTAAAATAGTGAACTTTGGTGTTGGAAATCCACTCAAGAGAGAATAATGTAATGTCAAAGAATATATTGGTAAGAACCATCTTGCCATTTTTAAATTTTCTGCATTTTTTTTCATATGGCCTTTACTAAACATGGACAAAAAGCATGATCATTAATGAGGTTTATTTAAGAGGTGTGTGTGTGTGTGTGTGTGTTGTAGCTCTTCACAAATAACAACATAATATGGGAACTAGTCCTCAGCGTAAATTTATGCTATAAAAATTCTCCTTCACACACTTCCTTTACATTTACAATATGAGATTCTTTCTTTCTTTCTTTCTTTCTTTCTTTCTTTCTTTCTTTCTTTCTTTTTTTTTTTTTGTAAGATACGACCAAAGTAAGCAAAACAACTACCATAATCACCTTTTGTAGGAATAAACCTCTAAGGATCTCGGTGTCAGGCACGCACGAACTTCAACTTGAGATCTGCAGGTCCTATTTCTACATTAGAAGTTTGGAGGCCAGGGCATTCTGAATACTTCGGCGTTGTGGGGGATCTGAGCTATAAATGTTTATTAAAAGGATCTATAATGAAATCAGTTTTGTTATTTTTTTAATGGTTGCCTGGAGTGTGTTGGATGACTGAATGCCGGTTGTTAATCATTAAGGACTCGTGTTACCGAAAGTGTTTGATAGTATTGCCATCTAGGGGCTGAATGGAATTCTCAGCTCTGAAATAAACTGTAATTGAGCAGGTGCTGCTATTGACAATATACATATGTTTTTGCTTTATAGCCCACATGCTTTTCATGTTTCTTATGACAAAAGCTATCTCTAAATGTCCCCCAACAGCCTACCTTTTTTATATATAATCTGTTAGAGGTGATTACTATTTGCTTTGGAGCTTATGCTTTTTTGGCGCCCATTACTGAATATTCTGAACAAAGAGTTTTTCTTTTTTGCATTATTAATCTTGCCCATGTTTGCCCTATTTCTACAGAAAAGGAATCATTTATCAGAAAAGAATGTTTGTAATCGGGACTTGTAGCATCTTCAGATTTAATATTCATTATGGTCATTCTAGTTCTTTGCTATATTTATCTAAAAGACCAATCCAGTGTTGTGGAGAAATAAGTTTTAAATATTTATGATCCAACTTTTAATATTTTAAAAAAGAGAAATTAGTATTTCTATAAAATTTGTTTCAGAGTCTGGTCGCTTAGCAAATGTTTAAATATTAAAAGATTTCAAGAGGTTAGCATGTAATATCATAATGGGACTTATTGAAAGAGGAAAATTGACTTAGAAGTTTTTGATAAATAAAGGAAATTATATTTTCTCTGCTCGTGGTTAACACATAATAAGAGACATTAGACAGGTGAAACTTATGACCAAGAATGTGAGGAAACAGTGTCAAAAATTATTTCTACAAAGTGTTTTGGTTTTGTCTGGCCCATTTTTTAGAAAATGATTCAAATTGACTTTGCCACTTTGTTTTAGATTTTATTCAAAATGATATTTGGATGCCTCTCAATTAGGAGAATTTCTAGTCACGTAACTTTGTCTGATTTCGGGTATCTACTCTCAGAAATAACTTCCTCTTCTCTCCCTCACATTCATCCTTTTGTATCCACCAAGGAGAGGACCATTGAAAACTGTCGTGTTTAAACGTCTAATAAACCAAACCTGATCTTACACACCATGAAGCCATTCAAAACGTCCTCATGATTACTCACGTATAGTACACAAAAGAAAGTGTTTCTGTGTGTCTGGGTGTCTCTGTGTGTCAGTATGTGTCTCTGGATGTGTGTGTGTGTGTGTGTGTGTGTGTGTGTGTTATCTATACACATATTCATGGTCCACTTGCAGACATATTTGCTATTCATAAACAGACATATCCACCCAGCCCAGATGTAGAAAGAGCACCCTGGGCGCTTTCAAAACATGAAGACTTTTAGTTCCAGCTTTTAGTTATGTAAAATACATTAAATGTTCTCTCCAAGCAGGAAAAAAAACAAAACAAAACAAAAAACCCCTCTAATCCTATCTTTTTTTTTCCTTTTAAATCAACAAAAACCACATTCTCAAAGCCTAGCTAACAATTATTGTTGGTAAATTTGATGGTTCCAGTTATGATGTTTTTAACAAACGAGACTATTTTCACATGTATAGATATATATCACTATTAGACTTCTCTAAGCGAATTTGTTTATTTACAGTTCAGCTCGCTTGTCATTTTGTTTTCTTGTGTCTGTTTTACTGCATCTGTAAGATATAAATACTCACCAAGAGAAGGAGGGAGGGAGACTGGGGAGTCATATGTATATACAAATTGTGCTGGGGATTAACCATTCCAGTTAGACCTCCAAGCCCTTAAGATTATCCCATTCTTTGTCATGAAACTTGGTGCCACTGATTTCCACCATGAGCTGGATGCCGCACTAGCCTGAAGCACTTTTTTTTTTTTTTTTTCATGTTATGTGTCACATCCTTTGGGTTGCAAGCTCTGGAAAGGCAAGGATTCTATCTGATCCCCACTTTGTGTATGTCTGAAGTTATACAACATTTGATAGTATATTCAGGTGTGAAGAACAATAAAAAAGCCACGTTGTTTTCTTAGTAATTCAAAACTCTGTTGTGATATTTATGCTGCCGTTGCTAATGTACCTTGGTCAGAGAATGATATTCCAGCAATTGTTAGCAGTTCCTAAAAGAAATCTAACCTGTTAATTTTTGTGCATGCAGGGAACGAGCCATCAAGCCCACCTATTTGGGTTAGAACCATTCACAACATATCACATTGGAATTGTGGCCACAAACCAGGCAGGAGACGTTTCAAGCCCCTGGACCGTGGTTCAAACCCTAGAATCTTCCCCAAGTGGACTGAGCAACTTTACAGTAGAACAGCAAGAGAACGGCCGGGCGTTGTTGCTACAGTGGTCAGAGCCTGTGAGAACCAATGGTGTGATTAAGGTAACGTCTACTCTGAATATGAAATCATGTTTGGTGTCCTCCAGATAAATAGATGAGCCCTGACAGGCCATCAGGTCACTGTGGGGAAACACCCTTCACCGTCTGTTTAATCCGCCTGGATAGCTCCTCCAGGCACTTAATCATAGATCAGAGAAAACTAGCTCCCATGTATTATGCTTCCTATGAACCCAACACTGGGCTAAGTGCTCTCCATGGATTATCTCATTTAACTTGCGCATCAACCCTACCAGGTAGGTACCACTAAACTTCATGAGGCATATCAAGGCTAAATAATTACCCAAGCCCCCATTGCAAATGATCGAATCGCAATTTGAAGTCAGGAAGTCACGCCAAAATGGAACTCTAAATGACTGTTCCTACTGCCTCCTGACTTCTCCTGCACAGTTATTTGCTTTAGTCCTGCCTAATTTGCACTTTGAGCCGAGCTCATTAAGCAAAAGACAGGAAGCCCCCCACCCCGTGTCTGCTAACAACCCCCACCTCCATATGTAGCCGTGAAGAGCAGTCTTACTAAGGTCCTAGGTGCGTCTCAGGTTTGACCAGTCTGTGAGCACAAATAAGATGGCATTTCTGTTACTAGACTGCATTTCGTTGATTTGAGTGATCACCCACATGCAAGCCAGTCTTCATCTGCCTTTTGGATACTCGTCCTCAACAGCTGGGGTGACTTACTGGTCAGACTGTGCCTGCCTCTAGTCCTGGACCACCGCTTAAGCCCTGATCAACTGCCTTCTGCAGGCTGGGACTGCCGGTCCCCTCCTCCACCACTCCTTCTCCAGGTGGTCAAGAGTCCCCTATTAACTCCACATAGAACAGTTAAGACTAAGCTGTAACTTTGAAGAAAGCATCTCTGAAAACCCTACAAGGAAGATGACAGCAGAAATTACCTACAGCAACAAGTTAGAACTGTAACTAGACCTCACAGGCCCAGGCCCATCCTCGTGGGCCTCCAGGTAACAGCTTCACTGCTTAGTACAATGGCTGCCTCTTACCCAAGCTGCAGGCCTGCTACAGGCATCAGAAGCAAGCTGCCTTCTACCAGCCTGCCTACGTGTGACAGTGCCAGACTTCCCTCAGTCTAGGACAGGAGGCTTGAGCCATATGATCCAGGGTCTCAAAATCCAAGCCAATGCCCTAAGATCCCATCAGAGAAAAGAGTCTCTCTCTTCATACCCATCCTTTTGATACCCATTCCCTCCTTTTGAGTGTTTGTTTCCCATTCTAGCATCTGCCTCTTCTTGGTATGATTGACAATAGGACTATCTCCTCCTTTACCTTCATTGACATTTCACCAACTATTTATTAAGCTTCTACTAAGTGCCAGGCATTTATTCAGGAGTGAACAAGACAAGCAAGGTCCTCCTGCTGTCACACACCTTGTGTGTGTGTGTGTGTGTGTGTGAGAGAGAGAGTGTGTTTGTGGGCACACGTGCACATGAATGGTGGTGGTACAGAGAAGCAAACAAAAAGCTAGTACACAAATAAGAGAATTTCAGAGAAGGATGAACACCATAAAAAAAAAATTAAACACAATAATGTAATTACGCCTACTCAGGCTGTTTTAGAATGGATGATCATTTGAATTGACATTTGAGCTGAGCCCTGAATGACAAAACCGAGTCAGTCATGTGAAGATATGAGAGCAAAATGTTCCAAACAAACTGAACAGCAAATGCAAGGCCTGAAGCCAGGAATGAACTTGGTGCATTCAAATGAACGGAAGAAAGCCAGTGTGGTTGAAGTATTGGGGGGTGGGGTGCACAGAGAGAAAGATGAGAATGGCAGATTGGTAGGAAGTAGATTGTGCCCAGCCTTGTGGGCTGTGATGAGTTTGGAACTTATTCTAAGTGTGATGAAAAATTACTGAAAGGTTTAGGCAATTGAATAGTATAATCAATTTTATGTTTTTCAAAGCCACTCTGGCTGCTATGTATAAAATGGACTCTAAGAAGACCAGTGGAATTTGGAAGATGCTAAAAATTTAAGGTAGAATTGATGGTGGCTTGAATTAGAGTGGGAGCTGTGAGGACAGAAGATGTAGGTGAATTGGAGATATATCCAGAAAGCAAAGCTGACAGGATCTGTTAATGGACTGGATGTGAAACAGGAAGGAAAAGGGATATTCAGGCCTTGAGTCATTGACTGAGAAAGTAAGGCTGAGAAGTATACAGGTTGGAAGGGACAAGTAGACAGTTGGAGGTATATGTCTAGAACTCTATTTTTGGAATTCATTAGAATATGAGTGGCATTTAAACCCATGGGTCTAGAGGATATCAGGTATGGAGAGAATATAACTAGAAATGATAAGAGATAGGGCTCAAGCTCTGAGTAATACAGAAATTTGGAGGTCAAGAGGAGGCAATGGTGCCAGCAAAGGAGACTCAGAAGAGGCAAGTAAGGTAGAAGGACAGGTAGATGAGTGGGACATCCCAAAACTGTGGAGAAAGTATGTCCGATGCTCTTGAAAGATCAAGTGGAATGAGGGCAGAGAAGTCATCCTGGACCTGGAAATGAGGTAATCATAGTGACCTTGACAAGAAGATCAAATGGTGAAATGAGAAACCAGGTTGGGACAGCTTGAGGAGAAAATAGCAAGTGAGGAATGAGGACCCCAACTCTTTAAAGAAGCATAGATGAAAAACAGAGAAACAGGGCAGTAGCTGGGGGACTAGAGTGTCAAGAAATTTTATTTAAAAATCAATGAAAGATACTAGAGTACATTTAAACACTAATGGAAATAGCCCAGTAGAGGAAGATAAATTGGTGATGCAAGAGATAATGAGAATGATTGCAGGCATGAAATCTGTAGAAGGAGCGGGTATGGGACCCAGAGCTCAGGTGGGCTCCTTGGGGTAGAGATACTTCATCCAGAGCACAAGGAAGGAGGGCATGCAGTGTAAGTCTGGATTCACATGGATATGGTGAAGATAATACATAACATGGGAATATTCCTTTCTGACTGCTTCTATTTCTCCAGTCAAGTATGTGATTCTGTCAATAACCACCTATGAGAGACAGAAGAGGGTGATGGCAGTTTGTGAGGAAAGGAGAAAATATTAAAGAATCGCTTTGGAAAATGAAAGAGAAAACATGTGGGGGAATGGAATTGGACTACAAGGTGGGGGAGTTGCCCTCTTAAAATTTAAAGTAAGATATTTAAAGTGAGACCATTCAGCATAGTCAAGTGTTTTTCCCCAAACCCAGCTAGAAGCTAAGGTATGGAGGGAAAGCTAAATTTAATACTAATTAGAGATTTGCTAGGTGAATATGAGGAAGCTCAGGGACTCATCGAGGCTTTCAAGTTGATTATGGAAGCTAAGCGCTCTTCAGAAAATACACTATTTCCCTTCCCTCAGAGGTGTGGTCTTGCCCTAGGAACCCAACTAGAAAAAAAAATCACATTGAAATACAATAATCCAGCATAAATCCATTTCCAAAAGTCTAGGCTCTTTAATCTTAAATAACAAAAAAGTATATAAACAGTGCAGTCCAAGTTAGGTTTGCCTGTGGGAATGTTTCAAACTTGATGTGCCTGCCAGAGGATTTTTTTTTTTAATTTCTTTTCAATGTTCCAGAATTCATTGTTTATGCACCACACCCAGTGCTCCATGCAATATGGGCCCTCCATAATACCCACCACCAGGCTCACCCAAGCCCTCATGCCCCTCCCCTCCAAAACCCTTAGTTTGTTTCTCAGAGTCCACAGTCTCTCATGATTCGTCTCCCCCTCCAGTTTCCCCCAACTCACTTCTCTCCAACTCTCCATGCCCTCCGTGTTATTCCTTATCCTCCACAAGTAAGTGAGACCATATGATAATTGGCTCTCTCTGCTTGATTTATTTCACTCAGCATAATCTCTTCCAGTCCCATCCATGTTGATAGGAAAGTTGGGTCTTCATCCTTTCTGATGGAGGCGTAATACTACATAGTATATATGGACTATATCTTCTTTATCCATTTTTCTGTTGAAGGGCATCTTGGTTCTTTCCACAGTTTGGCAACTGTAGCCATTGCTGCTATGAACATTGGGGTACTTTTCACTTTTTTTTTTTTCTTTTCACTACATCTGTATCTTTGGGGGAAATACCCAATAGTGAAAATCCAGGGTCATTGGGAAGCTCTATTTTTAATTTCTTAAGGAATGTCCACACTGTTTTCCAAAGTGGTTTCACCAACTTGCATTCCCACCAACAGTGTAAGAGGGTTCTCCTTTTTCCACATCCTCTCCAACACACGTTGTTTACTATCTTGTTAATTTTGGACATTCTAACTGGTGTAAGGTGGTATCTCAGTGTGGTTTTTATTTGAATCTCCCTGATAGCTAATGAGGATGAACATTTTTTCATGTGTCTGTTAGCCATTTGTATGTCTTCTTTGGAGAAGTGTCTGTTCATGTCTTCTGCCCATTTTTTGACATGATCATCTGTTTTGTGTGTGTTGAGTTTGAGGAGTTCTTTACAGATCTTGGATATCAGTCCTTTGTCTGTACTGTCATTTGCAAATATCTTCTCCCATTCTGTGGGTTGGCTCTTTGTTTTGTTGACTGTTTCCTTTGCTGTGCAGAAGCTTTTCATCTTGATGAAGTCCCGAAAGTTCATATTCGCTTTTGTTTCCTTTGCCTTTGGAGACATATTTTGAAAGAAGTTGCTATCTGCCAGGGTATTCTGAAATACATCCCCGCCCCTCTTGAGGGATGCCATCCTCGGGAGCCATACCAACCACAGGGATGTATCATATCTCTCAGGTGCATCAAGGCTGGGAAAGGGCAGGAAATCACTATACAAAAACATCTACATTCAAGTTGAGTTACTTCCCATCTTTCGCAAAGAATGATGAATAATATGAGATGAAAATTTGCCCTGCATTTATATAACAAATGTTCAGATGGTTTTCCCAGAACCAAAGGGTACTTTGCTCCAAAGGAGCAATCCATTCTTTCATGGCCTGCAAGAGAAAACAGCATGGTTTATTCCATCTTCTAGTCATTCCAAGTTTGTATCTATATTTGTGTAAATATGTAGAACACATAAATGCATATATGTGTATGTATGTGTGCCCACACATAGATACACAGACATTTTCAGCCCTGACACCCTGGTACAAATGGTTAAGTAATATAATTCAATTTCCCAGTAAATGCTACAACGAGATAGACAATGTAGATAGGCCCTACTTATCCCACTCAGAATGAAATCCAAATTGGTCATCATCTATAAAACAGGGGATATGAATACTGTTCCTTACCTTTAAAAAAATAAGAATAGGAGGAAACGTATTTGACCTTTTAAGTCGAAGAATCAGCTTCAATAGTCCTTAGCTTTTAGATATGTGCTTATATGATATCCAACCTTAAAAAAAAAAAAAAAGGCAAAGGAAACCATTGTTCTTCTTTTTGTGGACTTTTCATTAACTAGAAAAGATCACATTCCCAAAATTAATATCAGAATGTTTCTTGTGGTTTAGGACCATCAAGATGAGGAATAGGAGGGAGAGAAGGTTAAAAGGGACAAAACAGCTACACCAAGAAATCATATGCTACACGTTATTTTCCCTCTGCTTCTGTGCTTCCTGCAGACTTACAGCATCTTCAGCGAGGGTATCCTGGAGTACTCTGGCTTGAATCGTCAGTTTCTCTTCCGACGCCTGGTCCCTTTCAGCCTCTACACGCTGACCCTGGAGGCCTGCACCAAGGCGGGCTGTGCACACTCGGTGCCCCAGCCCCTGTGGACAGAGGAAGCCCCTCCCCACTCTCAGTTAGCTCCTACGATCCGGTCTGTGGGGTCCACCAGCATTGAGCTGAGCTGGTCTGAGCCTCTCCACCCACACGGAAAGATAATTCGCTATGAAGTCATTCGCAGGTGCTTCGAGGGAAAAGTTTGGGGAAATCAGACAATCCAGGCCGATGAGAAAATTGTTTTCACAGAATATGATACTGAAAGGAACACATTTATGTATAATGACACTGGTTTGCAGCCATGGACGCAGTGTGAATATAAAATCCACACTTGGAATTCAGCAGGCCACACCTGTAGCTCTTGGCACGTAGTAAGGACAATGCAGGCGCCTCCAGAAGGTCTCTCTCCACCTGAGGTAGCCTATGTATCTATGAATCCCCCAAAACTACTGATTTCCTGGATCCCCCCCGAACAGTCCAATGGTATTATCCAGTCATACAAACTTCAGAGGAATGGAGTGCTCTATCCTTTCAGCTTTGATGCTGTGACTTTCAATTATACGGACAAAGAGCTGCTTCCGTTTTCTACCTACATTTATGCCCTCATAGCCTGCTCGGCGGGGGGCTGCTCCACCAGCAAACCCACCAGCGTCACAACGCCCGAGGCTGCCCCAGCAGGAGTCAGCCCTCCAGCTCTCTGGACTCTCAGCGCTACTCAGATAAATGTATCGTGGTCACCACCGTCGGTTCAAAATGGAAAGATCACTAAATATTTGCTTAAATTGGATGGTAAGGAGTACTTTGCTGGGCAGAACCTGTCCCTGCTGGTTTCTGACCTCCAACCTTATACTCAGTATAACTTCTCCCTGGAAGCCTGCACTAACGGAGGTTGCACAGAGAGTGCGCCAAGATCAGCCTGGACCCTGGAGGCCCCACCGCAGGACATGGAGCCTCCAAAATTGCAAGTCACAGGCTCAGAATCCATAGAAATCACCTGGAAACCTCCCAGAAACCCAAACGGCCAGATCAGAAGTTATGAACTTAGACGGGATGGCACCATTGTCTATACTGGCCTGGAAACCCACTACCACGATTTCATTCTCACCCCAGGCGTGGAGTATGGCTACACAGTGACTGCCAACAACAGCCAAGGGGGTGTTTTGAGTCCACTTGTCAAAGACAGAACCAGCCCCTCAGCACCTTCAGGGGTAGAACCTCCAAAATTGAAGGCCAAGGGCCCACAAGAGATTTTAGTGAACTGGGATGCTCCGGTGAGGACAAATGGCGATATCATCAATTACACCCTCTTTATCCGAGAGCTGTTTGCTAAAGAAACAAAAATCATACACATCAATACAAGTCATACTTCTTTTGACACACAGTCACTCCTAGTAGACCAGCTGAAGCCATTTCACAGGTAAGTGGCCAACTCAGATTCACTAAGAATAAGCCACTGTGAGCCCTCAGTCTGTTCAAATGAAAACTCTAGAAGCAAGATGGGGGATGTCTCCAACCCCCAACCACTTAACCATTGACAGTGGACGCAACACGTCCTCATCCTGTCCAAACTTGCTTGCGTAACTCCTAGAGAGCAAAATTCTCACAGGTGACAGCCTGAAAGTCAGTTTTTCAGAAATGTTTGCAGTTCACCACAATGTCGGGAACACATTGCTGAGATGGGCCCCTTCCCTGAGTCTAGTCCCTCCTGGAAACATCCAGACCCCTAGACAGTTGTGAGAACCCGGATGGTGTCATCTGATCCAGGCATTGAAGAAAAGTAGGTATTATTGTAAAGAGGAAGAAAGTACCAGTAAAAGCTCTTACTAGCCAGAGTTGGACTGACCCAAATTTTGTTTGGGGGAGAGCCTGCTTACTGAATGCTGCACTTCCTCCAGGGATAATGAGACTCATCCGACTGTTTCCCCAACCCCTTAGGATTCCCCCAGCTCTGATCTCATGACTTTCCAGGATGATGCCGATTTGCTACCTCCTGTTTTTCAACGGTCCCCTTGGGGCTCTCTGATGTGCATGGGTGTGTGCTGCTCTCCCTATGAAGGAATCTTACTACTGGCCCTTTTCCTCTAGCTTGAAGAATTACTTGGCATTTTTCCCTATCGCATTTTAAGTAACTTACATCCCCAGCGAGAAGAGTAATAAAAGACATTTTATGCTTAAAATTTAGTAAAATGAACAGAACCACTTAAAAAAAATTAAAGGCTGAAAGAGTGTTGATTTCCAACCACCACTGGTAAAATTCAGCTATTATTGTAATCTACTGATGTGTAGATTGGATCCCTCCTATAATTATCTCTGATATATAGTGCTGTTTAAATGAAACATTCATGGTCTTATGCATCTACTCATGACAATTATTTAAGGTCGCATTAAATATTAAACAATAATTAAAACTTCCGCAGGTATCTTTCATAGCTAATCCACATACCGTGTGAGTTCCTTTTATCTTACTCTGATTTGGGGCATTAAAAAAAAAAACCCAGGTTAGCTGCAGAGCTGTGCATTTTATACTGGCTTCCTCTTTACCTGACTGGTACCTGCAAATTTGAAAAAATCGTATCAGCTTGCTCCCCTTTGAAACTCTTAGCCAAAAAGGTTTCTAAATAAAAAGGTTTCCAGGTGTGAAAGAAGCACTTTTCACAGGCTGGGGTGGGGGGGGATTTGATCATCTGATAAACCTAACAATGATACTTAAGGTGACAAGAGATGTCTGTGCACTTTCCATTCTCATTTAAGAGATAAGTGACATTCATGACTTGAAACAACATATCACTTCTATATGAAGTTGGGGTTCATGTAGTTTGGGGTTTTTCTAGCAGCTTAATGCTTACCGAATACTGCAAATTAGTGTGTCCTCCTGGGGGTAACTCCAGAAGGTCAGTAGGAAGAAGGAGCATGGGAATACTCAAGTAGCAAAAGGAATGTGAACCAGAATTTTAAAACTACCACAGATAATCCAGAAAACAAATAATCTATGTATGGAAAATTGAAATGGACTTCCCAGAGTTGGTTAGGAGTCAGTGCCGTTAACACACAGATGCACTGATGCACTCGTAAACCAGTAGTCCCATCACAGCGGAGATGAGCAGCGGAGGAGCAGACAGGAGGGAGAAACAGAAAAGGGGAAAGATGCCACAAAGGAAGAGAGACGTGTAATTAAGAAGGGGAAGGGGGAAAAGGAAGAGGACATGGGGAAAAGAAAGAAAGGAAGAGAACAGAAAGCAGCACTAAGAGTTTCAAAGCAGCAAAGAGAAGAGGAAAAACTGGAACCCAAAGAAGTAAAGATAGGAAAAAAAAGTGGCTGCAGCTGGAGGGAAGATCAAGGTGTCATAAAATCAGTGGGGCCTGGGTGCAGAGGAAATAAAGCACTTAGGTGTTGCTGTAGGCACTTAATACTAACAAAAGCCCCTCTTGTTGGAAAGGATAAGTCCCAGCTATGTAAATAGACCTTTCCAGGTGGCAGGAGACCAACTATGAGGCAAAACATAATTGATTGGTTGAGTTTAACTGGGTGGTGATAAGGTGTCTCCATGATTGATAATCTAGCATGTAGCTGGGTTAACTTTGGCCCCAAAAGGTCTTTGTGTGGTGTAAGAGAGCCTGTTTTAAGATGTCAGGTATCAGGTGAGGGGATTTATTACCACTGAAACCTTAACTCCATGATGTTCCTTCATGACCTGGAAAATATTCCTGGGGAATCGTTTAGCTCCGGCTGCAGAGGTAGAAAGAGCCCAGGGCTACGGAGAACTGGTTCATGCCCCCCAAAGGTCTACATTCTTCATCGTTGTGTTAAGTAATTCTGCAGAATACCAGAATTTTTTATGTTGGAGAGAATCTTGAAAGTGAATGTATTCCTTACATTCCTGAAGAATCGTGGCCACCCTTTCCAGACAGTTGAGAATTTTTGTTTTAGTTTGGGAAGCCAGGAGGATTTAACACGTTCGCACTTTTTTATAGAAAGAGGACATTGTTGCTCTTTAAAAGGATGAGCTGTAGATAAGAATAAATGTAAATGGATTTGTCTTTTTTCTTTTCAGCAAATGGTCTTTTTTTTTTTTTTTTCCTTCTGAGAAACAGTCTCGTAAATATTCCTCCCTTGAAATCCTGTTTTGCTAGTAATGGGTAATTTCGCCCTTGTGTCCTGAAGGTATGAAGTTCGAATTCAAGCCTGCACCATGCTGGGGTGTGCTTCAAGTGACTGGGCATCCCTACAGACCCCTGAGGTTGCGCCTCTGATGCAGCTCCCACCACATCTAGACGTACGGATGGCTCCAGGGGGGTTCCAGCCTACAGTCGCCCTTTCGTGGACGGGACCACTTCAGCCAAATGGAAAAGTTTTATATTATGAGCTGTACAGAAGACAAAGAACAACGCAACCTGGGAAATCAAACCCAGTGCTCGCTTACAACGGAAGCGCAAGCTCTTTTACGGATTCCGAACTATCGCCTTTCACAGAATATGAGTATCAGGTAAGAAATGTGTATTATCAGCTATTCACACTGAGATTGTAGGCATACAGCAGCCCCTGCCTGTAAAAATGCCTTGCAATTTGAAAAACCACTTAAAGAAACATGGGGCTTAAGGAATTCAATAATATCCTCTAAAATTTTCTAAGCAGTAAATGAGGGAGGAAAGACCATATTCATGGGCCTTCTTCATTTTCTTGGTTCTTGAAGCATGTGATATATGCTTGTTATTCCTATGTAAATTTCAGGTGAGGTATTTGCATTCCTTATTAATGAAGTGATTTCTACCATTAAGCATCCCTCCGTCAGTGTTGCCTTGGCAGGAAACACTCCTTGTCAAAAAATCACTTTGAAAATAACTCCTTAATTATACCAAGATAAAATAAAACCCAGTGGCAAGTATCTTCACTCCTGTGCTCAAGAACGATATGGAGTGTTGGAGAAATGTCTACTGGAAAACAACAAACCTGTGCACGGGGGTGAAGCAAGTTTTGTATGAGAGCAGTCTAAAACATAGGATTTTGCATATGCCTAAAATGCCATGAATTAAGAAAAATATTCTGAAAATATTTTGAAACCCTTAGAAAGGACGTCTGTTAAGTTTACTTTGTTTTGCTCTTGGAATGTTTTTTATTTTTCTTATGATAGCAATTCCATTTCTGGGGGCGGGGAGGGAGGTGAGGGGGTGATTCCCCCACTCCTTGCTCAGGTCTAGGGGGGAGTGTCAGTCACGGAATGTGTCAGGCTATCTCCTAACTCAGGAGTAGGCACAGAAGCCATGCTCTACCCCTCATACTCGCCCGGAGCTTCATCTTCTGCGCAGTGACTCAAAATTTTAAAAGACAGAGATGAGGGGCGCCTGGGTGGCTCAGTGGGTTAAAGCCTCTGCCTTCAGCTCAGGTCATGATCTCAGGGTCCTGAGATCGAGCCCTGCATCGAGCCCTGCATCGGGCTCTCTGCTCCGCGGGGAGTCTGCTTCCTCCTCTCTCTCTGCCTGCCTCTCGGCTTACTTGTGATCTCTCTCTCTGTTGAATAAATAAATAAAATCTTAAAAAAAAAAGAAGCATCATGTTTAAAAAAAAAAAAAAAAAAAGACAGAGATGAGAAGTCCTGATAAAATATCCCTAACCTCAATCCAAAAGATTTCTTACCCCTGCTATTTCCAGGCATGGTTCTTCAACCATTCTCTTAATCCCATGCACTCCCAATAAACTTCCTTTTGCATAAGTCAGAACCAGTTTTTCTTGCTTATAGTCAGAAGCTTGCTGATTGATACAAGCCCTAAGTGCCAGGCACAATGCCAAGTACAATTTTCTAAAAGAGGAAACTGAACCTTGAAAAGCTCACCATAACCAGAAAGAATAAAATCACTAAGTCACCAGAAATATGTTGAGCTGATCGATGAGTACAGTGATTAGAGATAACATTTTAAGTGTTAGAAGAGTATATTTTGGGCCAATAACGTGTGAGACAAATTACCCAAGGAAGTTAGTAAAAATTGAAAATATAAAAAGATCCTTGAATGGTTTGGAGAAATACACAGATATGCATCCATAATCCCTTCTCTCTGTTTCCAAATCTTTTAAGTTTTTTCTAGGTTCGGCACAACTCCTTTGGCAGCAAAATGCAATCTGAACAAACTGGAGACTATAGCATTTATTTATCCCAACTAATGTGACTATTTATGTCTTGCTACAGAAATGGCGTATTTTACTATCAGATCATTCTGAGGATATTACAAAATATACAGTATAGGTATTTTACTACCTTTGTAAAATCTGGGAAAAAAACCCGAAATTATTTAAAAACACATCAGGCCCCGAGGGTTTAGGGAAAATATGTGATTCATATCATAAACAAACAAAATACCTATTGATACCACAGTTGGAAACAAAATAATACTAGAAACAGCCAGAATCTATGTAGCAGGCCACGCTTTTGTTCTTTTCTCTTCATCTTTACTTAAAAAGTGTCAAATTATCAAAGATTCCTCTATTCTCAGTGATCTATTCTCCCTTATGAATAAAAGTACATCTTTGTGACATAGCAGAATGGAATCAGCAAGTAATCTTTGGCTTCTAATTAGATGAAACTAAATGACCCATAGATCCTGAAAGCAAACCAGCGGTTATAGCTTCTTTGGCGTTATGTTGTGCCATTGGGTTCAGTAACTGGCCAGATGATCCATAGAAGTCTTATGCCAGTTTTCTAAGGCATGGTAAACCTCACCCACCTGTCTTAGCTCTAGTGCGTTCTCTTACCCCAGGGACCCCCAGTTCAGAGGAGAGTAGACCTCAGCCTGTTCTCTTTCTTCTGTAACTCCGTCAGCTCTGGGTCATGCTTCTCCTCCAAACTCATTCCCCCTGATGGAGTATTTAATGGTGTTTCCATAACAAACTGACCTCAGATTTGCACTTAGTAGCTAATCCTACCTTGTTACAAAATAAGAAGCCAGAGGGTAAAGTCTAGCCTATCTGCCCGAAGCCTGGTTCTTACAGGAAATATTTTGAGAAGTATAGAATAAATGCTGAAATAAATGAACTAAAATATCAGATGTATTTAGCCTGTGTAACTGCGGAGTCTATATAGACCCTGACTAATCTTACAGAAGCCATTTAGGAAGTAATGTACTAAAAGAATTGATTTCCCTTTTACAAAAGAACGTTTTGCCATTGAGATGAATTTGCATTGCTCTCAAAGCTGTATGAGGGTACTTCATCGGCAAGCTGCCTTTCAGAAAATGCCTTCATGGTCCTAGAGGCATTGGTTCACCCAACATCTGTCAATGATTTGACCCTTCTGCAGAGGATTGTATTTTTTAGGTAACTTATATTTCTGGGAATCAAACCAGAGAACTGAAAAACTGCCCAGAGGTATGGACCTGTTAATCAAAAGAGTGGCGATGATCTGTAGTTGGGTAGGTGGTCTTCCATGTGGTGTGCCCTGAAGGTGTCAGACGCTGCTGTCCACCACGCTCTTACATGACCCTATACCACTATCCTCATTTCTGGTTTGGAGCTAAGTCATCGAAGACAGCTGCCAAAATTTATAATGTGGGAAAACCAAGACAGCACTTCCTAGTGTAAGTTCACCCATCACTTGACAGATGGAGCTCTGGGCGTGATAGAGCTTTGGGAGAAAAGCTACAGAGTGGATGAGTTCTGATAGACAGAAGGGACAGGAACTATATGGAGAAAGGGATTCGTACTGAACGAAAGGGGAATCCTTTACTCCAGGAGACCTTGGAGGGTGAAATCCAGCCAGTGTCACTTACCTGACAACAGGTCATAGAACCAGCTTGGTAACCGTCACGTTTGAAAGTGGACAAAAGCCCTGTGATATTATAGGCACCTTCTAAGTTTTCAATAATTCCTCAATATTGAACATCTTAAATGTACTGGCTCCGAGTGTTTCAAGTACAAGAGCAGGTTCAAAGTGCAGATTCCCAAGGGTGAGGGTGCGGATTCCCAGCAATCTGTATTTTCAACAAGCAGCTTTGATGATCCACAACCCTTTTTTTTTTTTCCTTCTTTTGAGAAATACTGCCGCAGAGGATACAGCATTGTTGCTCTGTGACTTAAGCCGGATTTTCAGGTGGTGATTTCCTAATTCAGTGGCTCTCAGCCCTGGCTGCACATTAGAATCACCCGGGGAACTTTAACCACGTTCCCTATGCCCTGGCCCCGGCCCCCTGTAGTTCTGATTCTGAGATGGGTCCAGGGATCAGTGCGTTTCAAAAGGTCCCCAGGTGATTCTAATGTGCAGCCAGGGCTGAGAATCACAGTCCTAAACCATCATAAAACGATTGCCTAAATAAGTGAACCCAGGTCCCCACTAGCGCCTAATTTACATGCTGATAATTGATGACCAACCTATTTACCTTGCTCTACCCATGACTTCCCTAAACAAGAGTCCTATTGTTTTAGTATGAAACTGAAGGGGGGGCGCAGAATATATTATCTGCAAAGTTCATGTCTCAGTTATTCAAGTAATTTCTTTTACTCTTCCTCATGGATTTTGTCTGATTTCTGATGGCATTTTCTTTTGCTTTGTTTCTCACTTGGGAGACCTGGCCTTTGGTAGTAAAAGTTGTAACGTTTTCCACCACTTAGAATGGGATTTTTCTAATTGGATTCGTTTCGACACAGCTTCCAGAGATTCTGAAGGATCAGCTTTAATAAGAACAGTAAGATCTAAAATAGAAATTGTAGAAATTTGGATGTGCCTTTTTGTGTTTCACGAGATGGCTGTGGTGTCTTTGCAGAAGCACAGGCTACGAGTCTCATTAGAGAACAAGCATTCTCAGTGATTTTCAAACACAATTTGGTTTACCAAAACCGAATCCTCAAAAACACTCTCAATGCATGATTCATACATAAATGAGATGCATTTTTACAAAATTACAAAATGCATTTTACCAAAATTCTTCGGCACACGGATCTTTTCCTTTACCTGGAGATGACAGGCTTCCTGTTCAACAGAATAGTTACAAAATCCAATGTGATACTTTCCATAGACAATACTCGTTTCTATCCTCAATGCTTTCAAAATCGGGCTGTACTCATCTGTAAGGTGTAAACCTCCAAATTCTGTGTGGGGAAGTCCTTAACTGTTCAGCACGAAAATAAGACGACGGTCTCTGCACAGGCTTGGGAGAGGGGCCTGGATGTGAGTCTGCTCCATAAGCAGCTTCAGTTTTTACCTGCAGGGAGGGAGCTGCGGCTGATGCGTGGCTCCCAGTAATCGTGCATTCATATTCATACTCTCGCTTAAGGCAATGACTCACCGCGGATTTGCTAGGGCCTGCCATGGCTCCCCCTTTCACCGGATCATGCTGTCAGTGACTTAATTAGCTTTCCTGAAAATTCCCCCACTTTGACAGCTTTTTGCAATAAGCACCCACGCTCACACGATCTCCGAAGACTGGAAGGCTTCCAGGGCCTCGTAACTGGGTGACTGAGAAGTGACAGGTCAGCCTCCGAGGAAACCCTATGACTCACTAC